CCTACGAGCTGCTGCTGCACCGGCGGCGGCACCTGCGCCGGCGGCCCTGGCCCTGCGGCGGCTGCGGGCGGCGCTTCTGGGCGGCCGCGCTGCTGCGGCGGCACCGGCGCCGCTGCCTCGCCCGCCTGCGCTGCTGCACCTGCGGCCGGGCCTTCCGCCGCGCGCGGGCCCTGCGGCGGCACCGCGCCGGACACGCCGGGGCCGGGCCCCTGCGCTGCCCCCGCTGCGCCAAGCGCTTCGCCCACCCCGCCGGCCTGGCCGAGCACCAGCGCCGGCACCGCCCGGCGCGGCCGCGGCGCTGCCGGACCTGCGGGGAGACCTTCGGGCGCCGCTCGGAGCTGCTGGAGCACCGGCGCCGGCACCTGGGCGAGGACGTTTACCGCTGCGAGCGCTGCGGGAAGGGCTTCTTCTACCTGCCCTGCGTCCTGCGGCACCAGCGCGGCCACGAGCGGCGCCGGGGCCCGCGCTGCCCCAACTGCTGCCGCCGCTTCGGCGACGCCCGGCGCCTGCGCCGGCACCTGGCCGGGCACGAGGCCGGGCGGCCCTTCCCCTGCCGCGCCCGCGGGGAGCCCGTCGGGACCCCCGAGGAGGGGCCGCGGCAGCACCGGCGGCACCGCGGGGGCACCGCGGCGGGGGCGGCCCCGGGGGAGTGAGGGGAGGGCGCGGGGGGGGGTCGGTGCCGCGGGACACGGCTCGGGGGGGGCTCGGGAGGGGTCGTCGTGGTGGGACGCGGCTCGGTGTGGTCACGGCACGGTCATGGCACGGTGGGACGCGGCTGGGCACGGCTCGGCACGGCACGGCGTGGGCTGGCACGGTGCCAAACCACCTGTCACGGCTCCACACGGCTCGGCACGGGCTGACACGGCTTGGCACAGCTCGGCACCGCTCGGCACGGCAGGAACACGGCCTGGCACGGATCGGCACGGCAGGAACACGGCCTGGCACGGATCGGCACGGCAGGAACACGGCCTGGCACAGGTTGGCACAGTGGGACAGGACTTGTCACCGCTCCACGTGGTCCCTCACGGTGCGACACAGCTCAGCACGGACTTGTCACGAGATGACACGGCCCAACACGCCTCGTCATGGCCTGACACGGTTCATCACAGTGTGACACGGCCCAACACGCCTCGTCATGGCCCGACACGGTTCATCACAGTGTGACACGGCCC